AGATGCTGGCTCCATGCTCTTGTACTTTCCAGTCTCCAGAACTGTCAAAAATAAATTTCTTTTCTTTATAAATGATGCAGTCTGTGGTATTCTGTTAAAGCAGCAAGAAATAGAAAAAAAAGGAATGCACTTTATTAAATTCATTTCTATTCCTAGTTTGCTGTGAATATTTATCATAATGGATGTAGAAATTTGTCAATGATAGTTTTGGCATCTACTGAGATTATTATGTGGTTTTTCTCCTTTATGTTATTAAAATGATTAATCAAATTGACTTTCAAATGTCACACCTACCTTGAATTCCTGGGCTGAATTTCACTTGTCATAATTTATTACCTTTTTTACATATTGCTAGATTTGGTTTGCTAATACTTTCTTAAGGATATTTTTGTCTCTATATTCATAAGGGGTATTGGTCTGTCATTTTCTTTTTCTGTTATGTTTTCATAAGTTTTGACAATATAATAGTGTGGGGAAAAAATACTTAGGAATGAACTTCACCAAGGAAGCAAAAGACTTATATACTGAAAACTACAAAATATTTAAAGAAATTAAAGAAAACATCAATAAATGGAAGTATATCCTTTGTTCATGAAATGGAAAACTTAAGATTGTTAAGATGTCAGTAATACTCAAAGCAATCTATAGATTCAATTTGATTGCTATCACAGTTCCAAGAATGATTCTTTGCAGAACTAGAAAAACTCATCCTAAAATTTATATGGAATCTCAAAAATTCCAAATAGCCAAAACAACCCAAAAAAGAAGAACAAAGTTGGAGGACTCATACTTCCTGGTTTTTAAACTTACTACAAAGCTACAGAAATCAAACTAGTGTGGTACTGGCAGAGAGACACACATAAACCAATGGAATAGTATGAAGAGCCCCAAAGTAAACCCTCCCATATATGGTCAAATGATTTTTGACCCATGGTCCCATGACCATTCAATGGGGAAAGGATAGTCTTTTCAACAAATGGTAGGGGGAATACTGGATATTGGATATCCACTTGCTAAAGAATAAAGTTGGACTGTTAATTTATACCATACACAAAAATTAATTCTAAATGGGTCAAAGACTTAAGTGTAAGAACTAAAACTGTAACACTTTTATAAAAAAAAAAAAAACAGGCAAAAATCTTCATGGCATTCGATTCGATGACAATTTCTTGGTTATGACACCAAGAACACAGATGACAAAAGAGAAATAGGTAAATTGGGCTTCATCATAATTAAAAACTTTTGTGCAACAAAGGACACTATCAACAGAATGAAACTGCAGTCCACAGAATGGGAGAAAATATTTGCAAATCATATATCTGGTAAGGGGTTAATAGAGTGCAAGGAACTCCTACAACTCACTGTGGTGCCTGAACAGAATATAAACACACTGGGCTTCTTCCCCTATTGTTGCCATAGACTATGAATAATGTAATTTTGTCATTCCTCTTTTAGCTAAGTCCTAAAGGCTGTGAATCCTAGAGATAAATACTAGAAATAACTAGATAAGACAACAGGGCTTGCATATCTCTACAAAAATGATGAGGCATCCTGAATAAGCAGGAAAGACGACTTGGAGCATCAGTACAGAGGTGTCAGTGTTTGACACCACTGTGATGTCTGCAGATTATGGCTAGAGTGCGGTGTTTGGGTGTCTAACCAAAAACATATTGGAGCATCAGTAAACAAATATCACTGCCACAGTATGGTGATATTTAGGTGAAATTTTGTTCTTCAGGCACACTGGAATTATTAACAAAAACCTTTTGTAATCACTCCCACTTCTATAGATACTACATTTAGAATCAGGAAGTGTGTGTTAGGAAAAGCCCTCAAGATCACAGCTTGAGGCACCTATAATTCACAGAAGAGGAATCTGAGAGGAAACCTACTTGCCTGAGATCATGCAGCTATTTACCAACAGAGATGAAACCAGAATGCAGGTCTAGGTAATTTCTTTATTTATTCATTTAAAAAATATTGAATGATATCTAAATGTCAGGCTCTGTACTGGATACAAGAGTACAAATTATATATTCACTGATACTTTCCTACTGTCCTTTCACCTGACCCCTTGCCCAAATATTATATAGTTTAACCCACAAATACTTTAGCTGGATCTCCAAATATAAATATTTTTAATAAAACATAACCATCATATCATTGCCCTGAAAATAATTCACTAATATCATTAAGCATCCAGTTAATACTGAAATTATCTAATTGTCTCATAGATGAGGGTTGTTTGTTTGTTTGTTTTGAGACAGGGTCTTGCTCTGTCGCCCCAGCTAGAGTGCAGTGGCATCATCATAGCTCACTGCAAACTCAAACTCCTGAGCTCAACCTCGAACTCCTGCCTCAGCTTCCTGAGTAGCTGGGACTACAGGTGTGCACCACCATGACTGGTTAATTTTTCTAGTTTTTGTAGAGATAGAGTCTCACTATGTTGCTTAAGCTGGTTTTCAACTCCTAAATTCCCAAAGTGCTAGGCTTACAGGCATGAGCCAATGGGCCCTGCCTCGTAGATGAGTTTTTATGATTCATTATGCAAATAGGATCCAATAAGGTACACAATTTCACATTAAAAGTCTCTTTTGTTGCCCCGCATAGTGGCTTATACCCGTAATACTAGCCTCTAGGAGCTGAGGCGGAGGATTGCTTGAGCTCAGAAGGTGGAGATCAGCCTACACAAGAGCAATATTACCATCTTACTAAAAATATAAAAAAAAAAATAGCAGGGCAAATTGCATTTGCCTGTAGTCCCATTTGTCCCAGCTACTCAGGAGGCTGAGGTAGAAGGATTGCTTGAGCCCAAGACATGGAGGTTGCAGTGAGCTATGATGATGTCACTGAACTCTACCCAGGGTGACAGAGCAAGACACTGTCTAAAAAAAAAAAAAAAAAAAAAAAGTCTTTTTGTTGACAAGGCCATTATTAAGTAGTATTTCCCACAGTCTGGACGTTGCTGACTGCAACTTCAGTTTTCACTTACCTCTACCTTCTGATTTTTTTCCCCCATGAATTAGTACTTAGTCTAGTGGCTTCATCAGATTCAATTTTTTGACAAAATACTTCACAGGTGGTTCTGTGTACTTCCTGTGGTATTACTTCAGGAGGCACATAAATGTCTTGTTGTCCTTCTTTTTGCAAGTATAAGATTAATCAGCAGGTGTTGTCAAACTGACCCATCTGTTCTAACATCCCAAGGGTGCTATTTTAGATAGGATGTTCAACAAGGCTTTTCTGAGTAGGTGATATTTAAACTGTGAACTAAAGGATGAAAACAAGCCAGTCATGCAGAGTGGAGGAAGAGTATAGTGGGTGGAAGCCCTGAGGTGAGAAAGAACTTGCCAGATGCCCCATATCCCTTCTTAGGATTAGCAGAGCTTTATCCATTCCCTGTCACTCCCAGGAACTCTTTCAGTCTCCAAAAGGTGAAAGTAGAGAGCTTTCTGCCTGGAGGTGTCAGGAAACAGTGGCTCTTTCAGGCGCAGGCAGCCTCAGGTACATAACTTTACTCTCCTGAAATATGCTTAGGTGCAGGACTCATCAGACCCAGAGACCAAGGTAAGAAAACAACCTAGTCTCTCTTATGACACGAACCAACCAGCCATTTTATTGGACATGACAGCATGTCAGAATTGTGCTTTTTAGAGTACAACTTCTTTGCTCACATCCTATACTATTCTTTCCTAGAATGTTCTCCACCGGACTTAAAATAGTTGTGCTACTAGAATAAAAAAAAAAAAAAAAAAAAGAATACATGTCCCACTGTCGAATTAGAATAAATAATAAAAAAAAAATAGTTGTGCTTCAACTTTCTCTTCTGTAAAATGGAGAAAGAAACAACACTTTACAGAGTTGTTATGAGTATTAAATGAGTACTGACTGTGAAAGTGCTTGGAGAAATCTGACAGAATACACAGGTATTGGTGAATATGCATATTTGTATACCCAATCATATATCCTCATATCATATATCATATTTCCTCCCTCAAAATGCTCATTAAAATTCTTTCTTACCCTGAGTTCCAACTACTATACACCATGAAACTCAGTAATAATGCCTCGTAGACTATGTGCTAGGCACTTTACACACAATCATAACATTTCCTTCAAACAACCCTATTTGGAAATATTATTTCACATAAGAGGAAACAGGCTCAGAAAGGTGAGGTACTTGACCAAGGTTGAGTGGCAGAGGCCAGATGCCTATTTAACGGTGGCAATTGTTATTTGGTTTCATCAAACAGGAAACTCCTTTCACTTTATAAATGGGTGAGTTAAGAAGAAAATCAATTTACTCCCAACACACCGGACAGCTTCACTGCTCCTAAAATTCTTTGTGAGAATCTTATCTATATGAGCTCATTTCACCTGCCCTTAAGGAAGGAGGGAAAGCACAAGAGACAGAATAGTAAATGCTAAACTCTGTAGTCCAAGAGAGAGATCAACATTGAGTCAGTCAGTCGAAGAAGGTTTTAGGGAAAAGTTATTTAGAATCGCGCTGGGCCTTAAAGGATCAGTAGGATATTCAGACTCAGAAGGAAACACATCAGGGCAGAAGGTGCGGAGCAAGAGTAGTAGAAGCTTATATATCTCTAAAAATAAGCGTGTGCACTGTCACCAAGCTTGAGTGACGGACTGTTCTTTTTATCGGCTGACATTATCTTAAAAGAAAGGTATCTTGGAAGTTTAAATGTCTGAAGTAAGGACGTCTGGTCTAGGAGTGGTAAACCTTGAGAGAAGACCCCTCAGGGAGGTTCTGGAGCTGCTCGAGCCCCTTAGTGGGGACTTTCCAGTCCCACGGTCTGAAACCACAAATTAGAGGCGTAACCGTTTGCCTTTCTACAATGCTTTGCCGGACTCTATGATTCCTACAGGGGCGCAATGTGCATCTACCTGCTGAGCACGCGCGAAGCTCTTCTTTCCTCACAAAGACCGTGGGAGGAGGGGTCGCTCTGAAACAACGTCATCATTCCGCCTCCTGGTAAAGCAAACGCAGTTGACGCATGCGTCTTGAGGACTTCCAGGATTTATTTCACGCTGAGGGTGGCGGTGACGTGATGACAGAGAAGGAGGTGGTCCGGGAACGGAAGCCGGGAGGGAACTAGGGCGGAAGAGGACCAGGGCCAGGGTTGTGTTCGGGTCCTTGCCGGGGCTGGGGTTCCGATGTGGTCCCCGGAGCGGGAGGCCGAGGCCCTGGCCGGGGCAGACTCGGCAGGCCTACTGCCCCCCGAGTGGGAGGAGGATGAGGAGCGCATGTCCTTCCTGTTCTCCGCCTTCAAGAGGAGTCGCGAGGTGAACAGCACCGACTGGGACAGCAAGATGGGCTTCTGGGCGCCGTTGGTGCTGAGCCACAGCCGCCGCCAGGGGGTGGTGCGCCTGCGTCTGCGGGACTTGCAGGAGGCCTTTCAGCGCAAGGGTAGCGTCCCGCTGGGGCTGGCCACCGTGCTGCAGGACCTGCTGCGGTGAGGGGCGGGCCGGGGCCGGGCGGGTGGGGCGGGACCCGGTCCTGTTCCTTGACCGTGCACTGCGCCCAGCCCAGGAGTCTGGGTCAGAGTAGGCGTCCAGTGTTCGTTCAGTGAGCGAAAAAGGAAGAAGATAAGAAAGAGGCTGGGGGACAGAGGGGGGACCTGGGAGGAGATTGAGGGCCAGGATAGTCCGATCAGATGTATTCCGGACAGTGAAATGAGAAGCCAGCCTGGCAGAGGTGAGAATGATTTGTCTGAACTAGAATCCCGTTATGTAGTTATTTGTAAGGGCCTCCAAATTTGAATTACTCTTGGAGCAGAAGGTCTACTAGATAGGATTTAGTGAACTAAGGAAGGTCAGAGCTAGGAAGAGGACAGTCGTAGGGAAGAGGCTTGTGAGCTCTTGCATCAACCCATGGCACAGGTCATGCGTCTGGCTTGTCCTTGGCACAGGCTGTTTGGAGCACAGAGGACATGAAGGGGAGGAGGAAAGCTTTACTGAGTATCTTGGTGCCTTAAAAAGGTCTGTAGGTGGTATCGTGTGCTACAGGTGCAGTGTTTTGGAGGTACCTAAGGAGGTAACATTGATATCTAATATTTGTACACACTTCACAGTATGCAGATACTTTGCATACACCATTGTGTCTAACCCTCTCAGTACCTTATGGAGAGGTTATAGAGTTATCCTCAGCAGACAGAAGAGGAAACTGAATCTCAGAGAGGTCAAGTGACTTACTCAGGGTTACACAGCTAGTTAGAGGTAATGCCAGGACTGGACCACTGGCCCTCAGATTCTAAGTCATTTGCACTTCACACTGTACATTATCACTGAGATCAGCTTAGCCGGGTACCTCCCTCAGTGAAGGAAGGAGAAAATCGACTCTGATGTGTTTTTTTGTTTTTTGTTTTAGCTTGCCGCTCTTGCTGATTAAGAGGTCTACCTTCTCTACTTTTGTTCCCAGTACTTTTTCATTGTTTGACATTGATGTGACAAGCCTTTCTGAACTTCTCCTTTCTGAGAAAGTGTACTGTAGAAAAAGTTTTAATTCATGCCTGAAGTGGGGGGCAGGGGAAACAGTAGCTGAAGAAGTCAGTAAGGGACAAGACCAGAATGAGCCTCCTTATTGCAGAAGGAGATCGTCTTCCATTCCCAATCCAGAGACCTGCAACTGCTCTATATCTCCTCTCCTGACTGCTGGCACTCTACTGAAGCTTCCTGGTGCTGGCCTGGATCTGGCACCTGAAGGGTTTATTATATGGGGAGATATTTCTCCATGGAAGCAGCAGAGCATCATGGTTAATAGCTTTCTTGGTGGCCAACCAGCCTGGAACCAAATCTTGGCTCTGCCATTTGCTAAATTATGTGGGCCTGGACAAATTGTATGCTGTCTTTAATAAGCCTCAGTTTGACTGATTATAAAATGGTGATAATTGAACCTAGGTTTATTGTGAAGATTTGAAGAGATATTCCTTATATAGCCCTTAGCATAGTGACTGGCCCGTGGTAAAAGCAGTTAATAAGTTTAGCTGCTATTTTTACTACTGTGCAAAACTTAAATCTCATCCCCACCCTAGCTTAGGAATAGCAGAGAGCCCTTCCTCTGTATGTCTCTGTATCTTCCTTATGTTTTATACTTGACAATGATCCATTATTTTCTCTTTATTGTTTTGAGCTCCGTTTTTCAAAGGAAATCTCAACGTGGGTCTGGTAGCCTCCTGTGCCTCTGTACAGTCTGAGTGGAGCGCTTGTGTTTTGCAGCCTGGCAAATCCTGGTTTAGATTTGGCCTCTCTCCTTCCTTTCTCAGTCCCTCAGTTGTCTCATTAGTTAAAATGCTGATAACACCACCTATCTTACAGAAAGAATTATTGTGAGGCTTAAGGCTATAGTATAAACCATGCTGTGTATCATATAGCTGGCACAGCGTAGGTTCCTAGTAAATAATAGTGATGATGATGGTGATGGTAAAATTCCTCTCTTGGGGTTGGGAGGTGGGGTGGGGGAGGGGGCTAGAATGGGACATTGCATTAAGTGCTGCTAGATGCCCTTTTCTTTCTTTCCCCCGCAGCCGAGGAGAGCTGCAGCGGGAGTCAGACTTCATGGCCAGTGTAGACAGCAGCTGGATCTCCTGGGGGGTTGGGGTCTTCCTGCTGAAGCCTCTCAAGTGGACTCTTTCTAACGTGCTGGGGGAGAATAAGGTCCCAGCTGAGGAGGTGCTTGTGGCTGTGGAGCTGCTCAAGGTGGGTGCTCAGAAGGGGGTGTCGGGGTGTGTTCTGGTGTGATAGCAAGGCCCTTCACGTTCCTGTATACATTTTTAGAAAAAGACTATCTCTTTTACATAGTGACATAGTTGATACCTGAGTTTATCTGACCTCTCTTCTACTATGCTTTGTTGCATTATTTACTTGTTAGACTTTGACATTTCAAGGGGGATCCTTTGTCTGGGAATTGTCAGTAACAAGCAATTAATTATTTGCTAGTATTTGTTGGGATTAATGATAAGCTATAGTTGAGGAAGTGCATTGCCTTCTGTGGTTTACTGATAAAAATTTTGCAGGATTTCTGAGGACCTTGTGGCTTTCAGCTTTGCCTGCCCCTAAATCAGCAAACTGGGCCCAGCTTTCTACTTTCTGACTATACACTTTCTGCTTCCAGCTTACTGATGGCCTGCCTGCCACTGTCCTTGCTCTTCTGCCTTGAAGAGGCCACCAGGGCCTTGGTCCCTTCATACTGTGCTGGTCAGTCAGCTTCCTCCTGGCCTGGCCTCCCCTTCCCGCCCAGCCCAGATTGCTTGGCCCATTGCTTGGCTGACTTTCCTTCACATGTCCCTTGGTTGATGCCAGGAGATGCCCAGCAGATCCACAGCCTTAGATCAGCTGCACGGTCTGCCATCCCTGCTGGAGAAAATCACCGTCACCCAGACTGAGGCCCCCTTGGTGGCCCCCAACTGTAGAAGACCCTGAGAGCCACTCAGCAGCCCAGCTTTCTTGTCCTCTCCCGTTCCTACACACTTGTTCCATTCTCTGTCCTCTTTACTGCCTGTGGGCACTTCACAGAGAGGGTAGACTCTCCTGAGTCAGGCCTGCAGTTTTCTATCCGCTCACCCAGCCTAACCTCCTCCGCCCCCCTCCCCTACACTCAGGTTGCCTGTCCTTTGTCCCATCAGCTTGCCTCTGCCCTGCCTGTCAATCTCCCTCTCTTGATGCCCTCCTTCTTCAGCCTCCAAACCCACCCAAGCTTTTCCCATCACACATTGTCTCCTGCAGTACCTGGGCCCTGCCTGGTATCTGCTATCACCTTATTGATCAAGCTTTGTCATCACTGCTTCCTCACCTCCCATTCACTCTGTCACCCGGTGCAGACCTGCTTCAGCCACCATTGCACCAAAACTGCTACAGCTGGGGTTGTGGGAACCTTTCTGTGTGTGTGTGTTTACGACATGGACTGAACACTGAGTGGCAGAAGTGTATTGTAGACTCACAGACCGAGCCTGACCTCAGGGCCCTTGCATAGCCCCAAAAGCTTCCACATGGCTGGACCAGTTCATGATTCCCACCCCCACCCCAAGAAAAGCACTGGTTTCTCCTCACCTCGACAGACCCCAGCACACTCTGCCTCAGATTAAAGTGACCATTCTCTCTCTGTCCCCCAGGATGTTTGAACAGACCACATTTTCTTCAGGGAGACCCCCTTCTTCCCATCTACACTCCATCTCCCCACACAGGTGGTTAGTCCCCCTACCCAGTACCCGGAGCTCCGGGGCTCAGTCAGGGTCCCCGCAGAGACTGCAGTGTGGTTTGCGTGGTTCTGGGCCAAGCTCAGGTCCTCTTTTGCAGTCCTTTTGCAGCATTTGCAGTATTGCCCATGGGCGGAGAAACAGAGCAGGCAGAATTGGGAGGGAATTCAAATGCCATCTCATCTACCCTCCTTGGTTTGTGACAGGGTTACTTAGGACCAGTGAGGTGGTGACTGGTCGCATTGGCCAGGCTGGAAATCAGGCCTTATCTCTAGCTCACAGCTCCTTCTGCTACACCTGCAGTTCCTTGGGGAACCAAGGCCAGGGAGAGGTAGAAACATGAAGTCCCAGATCAAAGTGCAAGCTAAGAGGCGGCTAGCTCCCCATGAGTCACGTGCCTCATTTCATACACAATCACTCTACTTTCCTCCAAGGTTTTAAAAAACATAAGTCCTTTTTCTTTTTTAAAAAGCCACCCTGCTCTTACCTTGTGTGATCACAGTTTTGAAGCTCAGGGTCAGGACCCAGTGTGTCCCACGGCGGTGACCAGGGCCCGTAAGCCTATTTTGCCTCTCCTGCAGGAAAAGGCGGAGGAGATGTATCGTCTGTATCAGAGCTCTCCTCTCTCCTCCCACCCTGTGGTGGCCCTTTCGGAGCTGAGCGCCCTCTGTGCCAACTCCTGCCCAGATGAGAGGACCTTCTACTTGGTGTTGCTGCAGCTGCAGAAGGAGAAGAGAGTCACGGTCCTGGAGCAGAATGGGGAGAAGGTATGGAAGTTCATCTGTTCATTCACTGACTCAGTAGTGACTTATTAAGTGTATACAGTAGTCCCCCCTTGGCCAAGGTTTTGCTTTCCAAGATTTCAGTTATCTGTGGTCAACCACAGTCCAAAAATATTAAATGGTAAATTCCAAACATAAACATAAGATTTCAATTGCATATCATTCTGAGTTACAGGATGAAATCTCACAATATTCTGCTCTATCTTGCCCAGGACATGAATTGTCCCTTTGTCCATTGTATCCACGCTGTAGACACTCTCTGCCCAAGAGTTACTTAGTGGCTGTCTTGGTTATCAGATCAACTGTCTTGGAATCACAGTGCTTATGTTTAAATAACCCTTATTATATGAGTAATGGCCCCAAGGCACAAGAGTAGTGATGCTGGCAGTTTGGATATGCCAAAGAGAAGTCAGAAAGTGCTTCTTTTAAATGAAAATGTGAAAGTTCTCGACCTAATAACAAAAGAAAAAGAATCACATGCTGAGCTTGCTAAAATCTATGGTAAGAACGAATCTTCTACTGGAAAAATTGTGAAGAAGGAAAAAAAGCACCTCATGCATAATATGTATATATAGAATTCAGTCCTATCTGAGGTTTCAGGCATCTGCCGGGAGTCTTGGGATGTGTCCCCCACAAATAAGCGGAGACAGTTGTACCCACATGCCCACCAGCACTCTTGCTTGGAAATTTCTCAGCTTTTATGGTAGGGACAGCAGTAATTTGTCCCTGTCCCTCAGATTGTGAAGTTTGCCCGGGGCCCACATGCCAAGGTGTCTCCTGTCAACGACGTGGATGTCGGGGTGTACCAGCTGATGCAGAGTGAGCAGATTCTCTCGCGCAAAGTGGAGTCCTTATCCCAGGAGGCAGAGAGGTAACTTTTACCCCTGTGCTGGGCCCCCCACCCCCCACCTTACCTGGCCCTCAGAGCCAGCAAAACATTGGTTATCTGTGGACTCTTAAAAAAAAAAGTTGTTGTTAGTAGTAAAAGTACTAACTGTTCAATGCAGAAATCATGGAAAACACAATATCACAAAGGAAAAAAAAATGAGTCTTAATGCCCTCCCAATGAGATTACGACTGTGTGTTATGTTTATGCTCTTCTGTGCCAGTATTCATTGGACCATCAGCCAGGCATTGTCTCTGGGACTCAGGGTACAACAGTGAACAAGACAGGTCTCTGCCTTCACAAGTCTTTGTGGGGACTCCTCTTCCCTGCAGGTGACTGTACCAGGGATCCCTGTCAGGGCGCACGAACACTCGGAAAGGAAGACGTAGACACTGGATTAGAAAGTGTTCACTCTGTCTTAAAATGGGAGAGATCCAGCTTAGTTGGAAGGCAAAGGGATATGTCCAAGGTCATTGTTAGTGTTAGCAATCGATTTCCTGTCTCCCAAAATGCGAAAATGTATGTGAGGTGCCCTGTTTTCGTGTTCTCTCCCTGTGGATTGAAACAGCTCCTCCTTAGTCGGTTTGCCTTCCCTCAAGCCTGAGCCGTGTCTTGACTTGCTGCAAGAGTTTGGCAGTGGGCTGGTGGGCATCATTTCCCTTGCTGTTGGCTAGAGTGGGTTTGGTCTTCACATTTCAAACCACCTTAACTAAGTGCTGTTCTCAGGGACCCTTGAGGACCCTGCCACTCCCATCCTGTGGCACTGTCATCTCCATCTGTCCCTTTGTTTCACAGGTGTAAAGAAGAAGCCCGCCGGGCATGCCGAGAAGGAAAGAAGCAACTGGTGAGTTCTCGTCCCCTCCGCCATGTAGCAGTGTCTTGGGCCGCAGGGAGAGGTGCCCAGCAGTTCAGAGAGCAGCCTGCAGCGGGCTCGAGGGGACAGAGTCTGCAGGTGGTCCAGGCACCCCAGCTGATTTTACAAATGAGAGGGTAGGAGGCGTGGGGTGGACTTACTGTCTGGGAAGGGCTGTCTTCCTTTTGCCCTCTGGCTTGTGCAATCCAGCCCTGACCTAAGTCTCCATGCCCCCTAGGCACTGAGGTCTCTCAAGGCCAAGCAACGGACGGAGAAGCGCATTGAGGCCCTGCATGCCAAGCTGGACACTGTTCAAGGCATTCTGGACCGGATCTGCGCCTCCCAGACAGATCAGATGGTAGCCGCTCCCTCCGCTCTATCACGGGCTGGTCTCTCCAGCATACACTGCTCAGCCCTATGACTGTGGCTTTGCTGTTTGGAGGGCACCTGGGTTCTTTCAGGATGTGGTGGGGTTGCCTTTGCCTTTCCTGGTGGGAAGTTTGGCCCCAGTGCTCATGGGGTGAATTGAGCTTCGGTTACAGAAAAACCCCAAAGCTATCTGTTGGAGCTGAAACTATATATATATATATATTTATAATCTCCAAGCGTTTATAGCCAAATGTTTGTCATTTGCACTAATAACTTTGCTTTCTCTTTAGGTATTTAATGCCTACCAGGCTGGGGTAGGAGCACTCAAACTCTCCATGAAGGATGTCACAGTGGAGAAGGCAGAGAGCCTTGTGGATCAGATCCAAGAGGTACAGGAAGGAGCCAGGGAGGGGCACACACAGAAGGAAGTTACAGGGGACAGATTTGACTTTGTTACATGTCCTCTTTTCCCAAACTTGACATGTTACCTTGTGAACTGAGGGAAGCTTTCCTTGATTCTCAGATGGGGCGGTCTTGCTTTGTAACCCTAGACATTGAGATGCTCGGAGCCCCCATTCCTAGTTCCAGGGCTTGTACTTGTCTCTTACAGCTCTGTGACACCCAGGATGAAGTTTCTCAGACTCTGGCTGGTGGGGTAACCAATGGCTTAGGTGAGTGAGTTGATGAGATAGATGATGCTCGCTCTCTTTCTTCCTTTCTTTCTAAGAGGACATCGCTTCCCTGTTCTGTGGTTTCATCATGGATTTGCTTCTCCTGGTGCAGGGAGGCTCCTCCCGGCAGAGCTGACCAGGGGCTTTTCTGTAGGAGCAGTAGGAGGGAATTGCCATTTCCTCCTCAAGAGGCTGTGCTAGTGACTCCGGGGTTTCTTATTCACAAGGCTTCTGACCAGAAGATCCTTCTTGAAGGGCGAGGGGAGGCAGTGTCCGTTCCATGGGGTTAGCAGAGCACACCTCCTTGATGACTTAGCTCTATAAGGAAAAAGAGTATCTGCTTGAAGGCACCCTCTGTCTCCTGATTTGCATGATATTCTTAACCTGAGGACGCTTGGCATTTTTTGTAAAGCTCAGTGGATTTGGTAACCTTAGTCTTGGACTCATTAATGCGTTTCCTCCTGGAGTTTGTGTGTTCTGATGTCATCTCTTCTATCCAGATTTTGACAGTGAGGAACTGGAGAAGGAGTTGGACATCCTCCTTCAGGACACCACCAAAGAACCTTTGGATCTGCCCGACAACCCCCATCAGACGTTTTATACCAACAGTGTGCCTAACCCTAGGATCTCAGATGCTGAACTTGAAGCTGAACTTGAGAAGCTGTCTTTATCAGAAGGAGGTATGGAGCTGCTTTCCACGGTTGCCGGTGTGCAGGTGGCCTTCTAGCTAACAGAGCCTGTGGGTCCCAGCCCAATGACTCGATTTGCTGGGGTACCAAAGCCCTGTAAGGGAGTTGGGGGCTTGTTACTTATTTTAAAACTCAGTCCCTTAAACACTAGGTGCTTTCATCTTAAAGATTTTCTTGTTGTAGTGTTCAGTCATTTCTTCTTTCTGCAGGTTCCATCCCAAGCAGTAAATCTCCGAAAAGGCAATTGGAACCGACTCTCTAAAGCCATTGTAGGGACCCTCATGTGAAGGACCCTCATGTAAAAGAAAGACCAGGCTTGTGTGTGTATATAGTCATTTAAATGAGAAGCTCTTCACAGTTCGTGGGGAAGAGGAGGAAGGAGAACCACTCTGATTTATCTGGATGCTACTACCACGTACTACAGGACAGATAGGATCTCTGGAAGCGTTGCCCCGCAGGCGTGCTCCCAGCTGGTGTCATGGACCTGCCTTCTCATCTTACTAGTGCCACACTTTATACAGTTGTGTGTTTGACCCGTCGTCTCTCATAGCCTGCAGTTCTTGTCATTGGCTCAGTTAGGTTTGTCTTCACCCACCAGCTTTGTTCCAGCCCACGAAGGTGAAAGATTTGCAGCTTTGTCAAATCAAAATCAGTCCCCCTACCAGCAACCCCCATGGTCTTTTAGAGGGGTTTATTCTGTCCGTAATGTCAGTTAAATTACTTACTCCTGTCCCACCTGATTTATACTGGTAATGAGAAGAATGAGACTCAAATACTTAAAAGTTTTGTTTGAGGGGACTTAATAGCTGCTATTTTATGGAGAAACATACAGTGTAAAAGATTTTTCTCTAGGGTTACCAAAATCTCCAAGTGTTCAGAAAAAAAGGTCACCCAGAGTGGCTCAGAGGTGTGACAGCTGGGAGGGGGCTCACGTGGTTGGTGGACACCGCCTCTTCCATCTTATGCAGAATGAGATCTGCTGATGGGGAAGGGGTTATTCTGGGTCTTTTGCACTTGGGTGGGGAGAGGCCCAGGTGACTCTAGGGCCCCCAAGATGTCCAAATCCTATATGCTTTTTTAAAGAGGCGAAATTTTTGCCTTGGCCCCATCATGAGTAACTTAAATTTAAAAGTATGTATTTATTTTCCAGAATGAGCCACACAACACTACACCTCCCCTTCTTGAGCCTGGCACACAACAACAGGATCTTGGTTTGAATCTAGAAAACATTTTGCTTTTAGCCCACTGCTCAGGGCAGGGGGTCTGCGCCAGGATGTGCAATAGACCGGGAGGTCGTGCCCTTCTGCAGGGTCCGCGTGTGCTTCCCCTGCCGGCTGTGCACCGCCCCTGCCTCCTGCAGTCCCACCTTTCTGCTTCCTTTGAGGAACTGGGGAGAGTATGGTGGGAGGACAGGCAGTAGAGGGTCATGACAGCCACACTGCCACTCTGCCGCCCAGGAGCAAGGATATCTGCCTGGAGCCCTTTGCCCTGTCCCTCCCTCCTACCCCAGGTGGGTAGAGCAGAGGAGAAGAATTTGCTCCAGGCCAGGAGCACAAATCACCGGTCTGGTCAATGAATTTCTCTCCCACTGGACCTTGGGAAACGGAAATGTTGGGGGTGAAGAGAAACAATCACTATTTTTTCTTTTTTACCTGGTAAATAATTAAATGAAAAAAAAAAAAACAAACCAAAAACCGAGCACTTGTCCTTGTCTCTTCTTTAGGTTAGGATTAGTTTCTTGTTCCTTCGTGCCTTTCCCTACCTCAACCTCCAGCTTATAAACTCCTTGGTTCTTTCTCTTAAGGCCACAGGAGAATGGAGAAAATATCTCCAGATCTTTTCTACATTTACGTACAATCCATAATATAGTTTCACAGTATATAAATTAAAGATAGAATACAAAGAGAAATTGACAAATCACAATAACAGTGGGGAATTTTAATACATTGTATTCTAATAGTGTGATATCAACTCATAGATCAAGTAGACCAAAAATTAGAAGGATATGGAAGACTTGAACCACATAATTAACAAACTTGATTCTCCCTGAAATACCTTCAACTCTCTAACAGACTAGTCACTTTTTAAGCATATATAAAATAATTACAAAAGTTGGCCACGTATAATACTAGGACACAAAGCAAGTCTCAACAAATACTAAAAGATTAATAATTGTGTTATGCATGTTCTTTGGTCATCATTCAATTAAGCTAGAGACTACAGGAATGGGGTAACAAACAAAACGTTTGGAATTATAAAAACAATTCTAAATTACTTGGGTCAGAGAATAAATTATATTGGAAATTAGAAAATTTCTAGCACTATCGGCCTCCTTGCTGACTCGGGACACACCAGAAATGCTCCCATATCAGTGTCTTAATGCTGCTTTTTCTGTGTATTTAAATTCATGCCATGGAGCTAAAGAGATACTTAAGGGAAAATTTATGGTAGCTCAAGCCTGTAATCCTAGCACTCTGGGAGGCCAAGGCAGGACTGCACAAGGTCAGGAGTCTGAGCAAGAGGAGACCCCTGTCTTATCCAGTAAATAGAAATTAATTGCCAACTAAAAAT